CATGTTTTATCTGAGAGCATCCTGTTCATCATTTCTTGTAGATCAATAGTATTCCATCACAATTATATACAACAACTTGTTCAGTCATTCCCCAATTGATGAGCATCCTCTCAGTTTCCAATTCTTTGCCACCACAAAAAGTGCTGGTATTGATATTTTTGTATTCATAGACCCTTTTCCTTTTTTTTTCTCTTTGGGATATAAACCCAACAGTGGTATTGCTTGATCAAAGGGTATGCATGATTTTGTAGGCATTTGGGCATAGTTCCAAGTTGCTGTCCAGAGTGGTTGAATCAGTTCATGACTTCACCAACATTGCATTAGTGTCTCAATTTTCCCACGTCTTCTCCAATATCCCTCATTGCCATTTTCATTTTCTGTCATATTAGCCAGTCTGATACATGTGGGGTCACAGCTCGGACTGTTTTGATTTGCATTTCTCCAATCAATAGTGATTTAGAGCATTTTTTCATGTGACTATAGATAGCTTTGACTACTTCATCTAAAATCTGCCTGTTCATATCCTTTGACCATTTATCAATTGAAGAATGGCTCTTATTTCTATAAAATTAATTCAGTTCTCTATATTTTTGAGAAATAAGGATTTTAACAATAGAAATTTGCTATCAAATTTTTTCCACATTTATTTTTACTATGTATTTTCCTCTATCATATTACTCCTCTGTTCATCCTACTCTCTTTCCTTTCATCCTGTCCATTCTCGAAAGTGTTTTTTTTCTGGCTTTTACCTCCCCCAATCTGTCCTTGATTCTATTAGTACCCCCATTCCATTCCCCTCCTACTTTCCTACCTGGTAAGATAGATTTCTATACCCAACTAAGTGTGTATGTTATTCCCTTTTTCAGTCAATTCTGATGAGAGTAAGGTTCATGCCCCCCCTCACCTTCCCCATCTTTTCCTCCACTGTAAAAATTCTTTCGTGCTTCTTTTACGTCAGATAATTTATCCCATTCCTCTCCCTTTCCCCTTCTCCCAGGGCAATCCTCTTTCTCGTCCTTTAATTTCTTTCAGATAATCATCCCATCATATTCAATTCATACCCATGCCTTCTGTCTATGTATACTCCTTCTAACTGCCCTAATAATGAGAAAGATGTTAGGAGCTACAAATATCATCTTTCCATGTAGGAATGTAAACAGTTCAAATTTAATAAGTCCCTTATGATTTCTCTTCTCTGATTACCTTTTTATGCTTCTCTTGAATCTTGTATTGGAAAGTCAAATTTTCTATTCAGCACTGTCTTTTCATCAGAAAGGCTTGAAAGTTCTCTATCTCATTGAATATCCATTTTCCCCCTGAAGGATTATATTCAGTTTTACTGGTTGATTCTTGGTTGTAAACCTAGCTCTTTTGCCCTCTGGAATATCATATTCCAAGCATGGTAGCATTTCTGAAGTTCTTGTAAAGTAAAATAAGGATTCAAATGTCAATAAATAGCAACTTGAATTTCTTCATACAGGAGGTACATAATATAAGAATTATTTTTCCAACATACCAGGAGATTAAAGTTCACATTCACACATCTAGTAAATATAAAAGCCAGACTCAAACCCTGGCCTTCTAACTCAAAATATAATGTACTTTTTATTTTTCTATTTTTACTATGCTGCATACCCTATGTGACTTAATTAGATTTCACCACACTTCTTTTAATATTATTGCTAGAAAAGCAATCAGAACCATGATGACCAAAGTTAATTATTGGTTCAGTCATCACCACTTGCTGAAGAATTCATTGGAGCCAAGATGTCTGGGCTTCTTTGGCAACATATAAAGCTATTAACCAAGGATTTAAGGACAAGGAAGGATTGATAACAAGTCACTTTTTAAAAAACAAGTCTGACTTATTGGGGTTATCAGGCTATTTGCTTCTAGGAATTAGCATGGGCATTTGTGAATTATCTATGTTTCTGAAGGAGGAAGTTCCCTGGTCTTTATGTCTCTTCTCTAGAGTGTTAATTGTTTAGAAAAACAGCAACAAAACAAATTGTCTCTCTGAATTCTATTCCTTGCTTAAGTGAATGGCATCTTGTGACAGCAAGTGCCATTTACTCTGTGGGGCAAAGAGTCAGTGTTCTGATGAGGCAGGAGCCTGTGATTTCTCAGACTGGTACATATCCTGAGATTTTTTTTTCTACCACTCTGAAGACATATTTTGAGAGTCAAAACATGCCTCATTAGATGTCAATCTCCCTTTTTTCTCAGTGATTTATATGAAAATCATTTCTTTCTCTTGGGGAGTGGAGATGACTTAGGACTAAAAATAGTGACTAGATGGACAGATGGAGGAAATGATTACAAAGCTCTTTCCAGAGAAATTTGGAAATGAAGTGATAGTGATTTTGAATGAACAAACAAACAAACAAACAAACAAACAAACAAATAAATGGACAAACATTGACCACAACACAAATCCCTCAAAAAGGGTAATCTCATCCCAAAGCAGATACAGGTAAAACTTTTAAATAGCTCTGTTGATGAACCAGTCTCAATACACACACTTTCCCAGGCTTGATTTAAATTGACCCAGGTCTGAAAATAAAAGTGGAAAATCTAGTCAATTTACATCTCTAAGTTAGAGGGGACAATTCCAGGGTCCAAAATATTCATTGGGATAGAGGGACTCAAAATATGGTGCAAAACAAAATGCCTGATTGTTGTGGGATGGAATGAGCCTATCCCTCTTCTCATTAGGGAAGACACATTGCTTTCACCTGGGGGAGGGGAGGAAAAGAATAAACTCACTCTTCTCCTTTTTCTTTCCCCTTGGCCTAGGTTCTATTTAAGGAAAGGTTTAAGGACAATTAATCAGAGTTCAGGACATGTGCTCCCTTCACCTGTTTCCTGAGTCTAGGAGAAAAGAACATTAAGGAATTCAGAGAAGGTTGCACACCATGCAGAGAATTATTAAGCGATGTATACTCTAACTGCTCTCTGGATCCCACTCCCTTTGAAGTCTACACAGGGGACAATCTGTGTGAGCAAAGGAACCATTCAGAGAAATGCCTCACTTACAGAAGTGGACAACCTTTCTTTACCATCTGTACTCTCGCTAGAGTCATTACTGGGAATATTTTTACCAGGGGACAAGCACTAAAAACCAGGCACTTAGGGAAAATAGCCTGAAAAGTAGCCTTGATTAGGTAGGAGGAAAACCCTATCCAGTAAAGAGGCAGAGATCCTGGGACATGAGGGGGAGCTAGGTAGTGGAGTAGATAGATGGCTGGACTCAAACTCTTGAAGATCAGAATTCAAATTATGTCTCAGTGCTTACTAGCTACATGACCTTGGGCAGCCAATTTGCTTTCCTGAGTAAATTTCTGTCTCTGTCTCCCAAACTTCTTCTTCTTTTTTTTGCATCAACAATTTTTCCCTGTTCAGCTTCTCAAACTTTATCCAGTCCTGCAGCCCAGAGGAACTCAATAGGAGAATCAGGTATCACAGAGAGAAGGAGAAATACCCCCAAGATAACCACTCCCTAAATTCAGATCATAAGGGTAAGGAACACTTTTAGGCACCTTAATTCAAAACAGATCTTTCCAAAGGAATTTATAATGAAATGATAAATAGAGGAACACCATAAAGAGATGTTAGTTACCCTAGATTTGGATCTAGATGATCTGGGCTGGAATCCTGGCTTGCCATTTATTAATTGTGTGACTTTAATCAAGTCATTTAACTTCTTGGGGCCTCAGTTTCTTTACTTTAAAGATGTAGTACAATGCTATCCTGGTAGAACAACTCACTGTTCCAGGAGACCAGTACTCTAGGCCAAGGCTAGACCTCACACTCTTCCTGCCCCCACCTATAGTTGCAAACAGAGCTTAAGTCCTACATGTATTGACCTTTGCCCAAAGAGACAATCAAGATGTTCCTCCAGATACTGTCATACCAGTTAAGGCTTTCCTCCAGGTAGAACTTGTTTATGTCTCTCCTCTTAAATTCTTCACTTCATATTCCCCAGCTTCTGGCTCTGCTCCCCCATTCTTGCTGAGAAGAATACAATAGTTTCTCACCTATCCTTTGGATTTCTTTCCCAAGAAAAAATTTGTCTTCCTTGAGCAAAAAACTTAATGACTAGCCTGATTTGCAGCTCTAATTCTCATACCCTCTTCAGTATAACATGCATTTATTAAAACTTTGTTACTAGAATTATCTTATTTTAAGCCTATGAGAAATATAATAGCCCCTAATGTACATGTAATTCTTTTGTGGTTTTAGGTAGTTTATTTTATATGAAAAATTATGAGTTCTATCACAATTTTTATGAGTCTGTAGTTAAGTCAATTTCTAACATTTAGGCAGACATTGAGCTATCTGTCTTGGTTTACATTTATATCTATCTCTAATAATCCCTAGGCCCCTTTGTGTTTGAGGCAAGCATTTCTGCAAAAGAACAACAAATTATATTATAGTGTCTGTGGATGGAAAGGCAACATGAAGGAAAGGTGGGTAAAGAGAAATAATTTTCTCTGGCTTTCCCTCAGTTCTTCACTTGGTTGGTGTGCTAATGACATCAGCCAATGTCTTCTGTTCTAGGATGCTTGTAAGACCATTGGTCCTTTTCAATTTGTTCCTTTTCTAATATAGATCAATTCTACCTTTTCTTTCTCTATTAATTTGTTGCCCCTGGGTTGCTAGTTAATTTTGATTTAGTTTAGTATGACCTCACTTTTCTCTTTTCAATTTCTGACCCTTAGAGTCTTATATGGTTCTGAGATAACTCTTTCATTGTATACTTGTGACCAACTCTTTCACATGATGGCTTTAATTGATTCATAAGGTGTACAGACTATGTATGCATTCAGTTCTGGTAGACTGATTCAATTAAGAAGTGTTTTTCAAAAAAAATTAACAAAATTAATTTCAAGAGGGGTGGGATCATCAACAGAGACTTACTATTGCCCATCAATTCCCTGGCATTTTCTACTGCATGATTAGATGATAACCCTATGTGATCTTTTCCTCTCCTTGTCTCTTTCAGATTGACAAGATTTTCCTCAATGCCAAGACCAAATTCCACAGCTATAAGTGAGTTCACCTTTGAGGGATTCTCCAGCTTCAAGTGGCAGCACCAGCTCATTCTCTTTGTGGTCTTTCTAGGTCTGTACTTTATGACACTGACTGGCAATGGCATCATTGTGACCATCATCCACCTTGACCATCATCTCCACATACCTATGTATTTCTTCCTGAGTGCATTGTCCATCTCTGAGACATGCTATACATTAGCCATCATTCCTCGTATGCTGTCTGGCCTTCTAAGACCACACCAACCTATTGCCATCCCAGAATGTGCTACACAGCTATTCTTTTATCTTATGTTTGGCATCAATAATTGTTTCTTGCTCACAGCTATGGGTTATGATCGTTATGTGGCTATCTGCAATCCTTTACGGTATTCAGTCATCATGGGAAGAGTGCTTGTGCTCAGCTGGCATGTGGATCATGGGTAATTGGCCTTGGAATGGCCATTACTCAAGTAACATCTGTGTTTTGCCTCCCCTTCTGTGATGCCAGTGTCATCTCCCACTTTTTCTGTGATGTCCGGCCTCTCCTAAAGCTTGCCTGTGTTGACACCACTGTCAACGAGATCATTAATTTTGTTGTCAGTGTGTGTGTCCTTGTATTGCCCATGGGCTTAGTCTTTATCTCCTATGTCCTAATTATCTCTACTATCCTCAAGATTGCCTCAGCTGAAGGCAGGAAGAAGGCTTTTGCCACATGTGCCTCCCACCTTACTGTAGTCATCATCCATTATGGCTGTGCTTCCATCATTTACCTCAAACCGAAGTCCCACAGCTCTCTTGAGCAAGACAGACTTATTTCAGTGACCTATACTGTCATTACCCCCTTGCTGAACCCTGTTGTATACAGTCTAAGAAACAAGGAAGTCAAGGATGCTCTGCGAAGAGCTCTGGGCAAGAAACCCCTTTCCACTTAAGTGACCTGAGCCAGAAAAGGTGATTTAGTCGCAGTCCCATCCTCCCAACATCCAACAAACAAGAATATTTCATCTTATTCTCTACTCATAGGTTGCAAAGTAGATAGCTGTAACCAGTTGAGATGGGGATACCCAGTTAATGCTCTTTTCCAGGACAGAACATTATGCCCCTAGTGAGTGAGGAACTGCTGGGTATGTGATCTCTCAAGTCAGGGACAATGATTTGCCACATCGCTTGCTACAAACTCAGATCTGGAGGAGGCATGAAGATGATAGAAGAGGCTTCCAAAGTGTTAGTGAAGACAGATTGCTTGGGATGATATTTCAACCCTGTTGGAAAAATACGAGAATTAAAGGGAGAGGCTAAACAAAGAAAAGTTCTAGAATTCAATTACCATAAAAAAGGGGGCACATGGGAAGTAAAGGGAGAGATTTCTATAGCGAAACAAGACTGAAACAATTAAGAACCAAATAAATTCTGGTGGCACAGTTCCTAAGCTAGATGAAACTGTACTCTATGACTATAGTAGCTACTTATAATTTGACAACTAGTATACAATTGGAACATGAAGTTTCCTCAAATTATATCTATATAAAATGTATACACATATGTAGTCATATGCATACATATACATGAAAACCTATATATGTGTATATATCTATATTCACAGATATCTATATCTAGATAAATGTACCACTATACACATACATATACAATTATAATACTATGCTCCACACATTGTAGTAACTTGGGCATACAAAGACAAGCAAGTGAGACAGTTGCTACCCTCTCAAGTAGCTTACATGCTAATAGGGGAAGAAAACATATGAATGAAAAGTGAATAAGGGAGAGGTGCTTGTGGCAAAGTCACATGGAGGGCTGGTTCTGAACAATATGTGATGAAAACTTACCTATCAAAGCCTATCACTTCTAGCAGACAGTCCAAGATCGTGCTGTTGAGGAGATGGTTCTATTGGTCAATGAATTCAAAGCAGTTGAGCATGATATTGCATATAATGCTTTATGAGTGAAGACTGCTGAAGTAATTTTGTGAGCTGGACTATTTTTCCAATGTTACAGCTTAAAAAAATGAACTTCTCCCCATGTCTCTAAACAGTTAACTGGTGAGAGTAGAAATGAGGATTAGTAACTATAGAGAGGCTCTCGTTTAGGCTTTCTCCTTCATTATATCAGAGACATTCTTCATCAAACTGATTAGACAAATTCTCATGATGCCAGGCAAAGTGTTCATGTTTCTTGAACTTCCAGACATTCCCACTCCCATACTTTCTAAAAAGAGCAAAAGTTCAGGTCCTCCATGAGTGCCTGAGGGACAAAAAATCCATTGCACTCTGGAGACCCTTCTCCTCTTTAAATGATAATATATCTGAAATGCTCTAGTGATGTGCACAGCAGAGTAGGAAATTCAAATCAAATAAGGCATTATTTGGCTCTCAGTATGTCAACCAATAAGCATTTACTAAGTAATTACTACATATCGAACTCTGAGCTAAAGGCTAGAGATACAAAAAAAGCAAAAACAGTCCTCATACACAAGGTGCCCACATCCTAATGTGGGAAGATAACATGTAAATAACTAAGTATGTAGAGGATATATACAGAGCAGAAGGAAGATAATCTCAGAGGAGAAAGCAAATTATATGGACAGAAAACTGCATCCTGTAAAAAGTGAGGTTTTACCTCCTCATGTTACGCAGTTTTCAAATAAATTGGATAAGCCATTTGATATCATAGTTACTGGAAAGTCCATTAGATATGATTAGAAATGGAATTTATGCCCCTCATTTATTGCCCTCAATCCATGGAATCAGGGGCAGGCCATGGTCAGTCAATCAGCTCTAATATTAACATGGTTAGGCTGAGGCTGCAGGGTTGGTAATCCATACTATTACTTTTGTTTACCAAGCCAATGAGGTTTGCTTGGATTTAGCTCTGAAGAAGCCTTACTTCTTAGTAAAGGTAATAGGCTTCCCATTCTCCTAAATTATCGGCTTATTAAAACTTTCCACCTAGTCTAGTTCAGGGACAATTCTACTTCTGTCTGTAGCCTTGGCTATCCTACAAAGAGGTTAATAAAAGAGGTGCCAAATGTATAAACCGGATCAGGTACCGAAAAGGTCAGTTATTTCCACATAGAAAACAATGGTGAGAATGAAAGACTGCCTGTGTACATGGACAGAAAAAGTTAAACAGGTTTCAGTATCTTAAGCTGTTACTATTATAGTCAATTACAAAACTATTCAAGTCTAATTGGGATAAGAAATAATTTTGAAAGACTGCTGAATAGCCATTTAACCTCCATTGGCACTCTACAATCTATCAACAAAGCTTGATTTTTCCAGTGATTTCTCTCAGATGCCAACTTGTCCCTTGGTGCCAGTTTGCTACTGCTGCTGCTTAGGCAGTCTCTCTGTGCTGATGCTCAGGTGCCTGAGAAGTGAAAGATGCTAATTTCTATCTTTGCAATCTTTCCACACCTTTTGATGCTCACAAAGTGAATGCTTAAAGCAAGGAAAGAAACAAGAGAGGCCAAAGACCTCATTTCAAGTTTGGCTAGTTGAATCCAATTTCTGCATAAGAGTGGCACCATATTGCTGGGGTAGAAAAGGACTGCCTTTCTCTTTCTTTAGATGAAATGACCTCTAGTCACATGGTTGACTGTATTCAATTGGGCCAGAAACTAGAAGCCACTACTTCTTTTACCACGTAGGGTTGCCTGTATTATTAACTCAGCAACCAATTAGGGGACTTTCAGCCATGAATTATGAGCATGACCAGAAGGTGACCCTCCACAGCATTTTCTTTATGGAGAAGACTAGATTAATAATAACCCCTTATATTTTATAAGTATTTAAGAATTCTTCAATTCCTTGAATATATATGAGCATATTTGGCCTTAAAAATAACCATGTTACAGTTAGGACAAGTATCATAAAACCATTGAAGTTCAGAGGGTAAAATGATTTGACCTTGTAGTTACATAGAAATAAAGATATTTCTTCCACACATATAGTGTTACATCCAAACACTGGGTCTGTTGGCTTCTTCCTCAGTGTTCTCAATTCTTGTGCAGAGAAAGGAAGGGTAAGAACTATATCAATTAGATGCTACATTTGTCAGGGCTATCTCCCCAACACTTTCCAAGTGCTGACATTATTTCATGAGAGAGCACCAGAACTCAAACCTATTTAAAGTGTCAGGGCTCAAAAGACCCCAGAGTGTGCCAGACTTTAACAGCCCTAGTAGTCATTCATTCTAAACTTCCATATATCCTTGTAGAGGCCACTTATTTTAGAGACTCCTCAAGCCCTGGATGTACCTTACCTCAATTTCTTTACATTGAGAGAATTGTGTGAACCAATCTAATTCAATCTTGTAAAACTGACTCCATTTTGAAACTTAAGTTTCATTTTCCACCTGCTTCCTAATTGAGTGATGTCCTTTTTCATATCTTGGAAAGTCCACCTGCTCACTCAATCCCTTGCTAACTCCTGAAACTTGCTCATTCTCCTCCCAACTCAAAAAGTCCTTAAATGTTCTTCCAAACAGAAATCAGATTACCTAGTTTTGTATCATGGTTTATATCCTATAATTTGCTTTTAATGCATAAAAATCTGTCTCCTCCTGTATTCAAGGTTCAGTGTCAAGCTGAAGAGGCCTCATCCTGATTTGTTATGCAATTGGCCTGCATTGCTTAATAAGTTAATATGCTTGGAAGCTCAAACCTTTGTTTCTTCAGTTATTTCAGATTTACTCATCATAAATTGTTTGGCAAAGCCAGCTAGGTCAAGTCAGAACTCTGAACCCTAGGATGAGTGCCTTTCAGAAAAACTTCTTTGCTCCATGGGACTTCTTCATTGAGGACTTCTTTTGGAGGTAGGACTCTCCTCTTGATTTCAATTCTTCCAAGATAAGGTAAGCCCCAACATTGTTGAGGGCAATAAACCTCCACATCATTGGGGCAGGTGTTTTCCTGGGAAGGCTTTTTCAGAGAATAGATAAATTTCCCCTTAAGTTGGGGAAGAATATACTATGTGTCACAAAAGCAATATTGGTGATTGGCATGATCAGTAGTCACAAATAACAATAGTTGGTGAGCGACTGACAAACTAGTAGTGGGAACTATTAAATTATGTGAGATTTGGTTTAAAACTGCAAGAGTTTCAGCTAATAGAATATTTTGGCCTCATTTGGCACTTCTGATTGTTAATGAAATTAAGATTGCTCTATAATTTGTAAAACACCAAATGGGACCCGAATTTGGCCTGAAAAATGGACTTTAAGTTACTGCAAGTTTTATAAAATTGTGTACATTAAGTTTTTCTATCTTACTGTATTGTCTGAGTTTTTATGTCTTTGTAAAATGCTCAGAAAAAAAAAATTTGTCTTATATTATTGTGTTTAATGCTGTTTGTTGATTCCGCTACCTTGGAAGATTTCTAATAGGAAAATGCAGCCAGTCAGGAAAAAAAAACTGCTATAAAAAGCTACAGTCAATGAGTTTAGTATGCTGGGAAAGATTAATAAAGTTTCATAGTTGAAGCAGTTCCCTCAGTTTTCTGTAATCAGATGCTGAACTCCTATCCCAGTAAGTAGGATTAACTTTCACTTTAGGCTTTCAGTGGACATTAGGTTAAAAAGGAAAAAAAACCCTGCAAGATACTTTTTCTCTGTCATTTCACCTTAGATAGGTTAGGGTTACAGAATAAAGTCAGATAATCAAAGAAAGAAAAACTTTTTCCTGGTTTGTAGAAATTTGTGGCATTGTAAATTAATTATAGACTGAATTTGTAACTCCTAAAAATATTGTAGTAGATTTTGGAGGTCTGGAGGCTTGGAAATTAAGGAGATTGGAAATTAATCATTAAAAAGTTTGGAGATTAATCAGTTTAAAATTGAGAGAACTCCTGGGACTTTGGATAATTCAAGGAATTTACTCCTTTCTCCTTAGCATAAGCTTAGTAAATGTGAAATATCT